CTGTTTGAATGTATATACACTTTCTATTCTTTCTACAAGATTACAGAATACGTTATAAATTTGAAATAAATTATGGCTCAAGTAACGCAAAGTAACGCCGACAAACCTGCTCTGGGATCTTTTGCTATTGAAGCATTTGAACCAAACGTTACTATTTGTATTAACGTTACTATAAAAGGTGGTTGCGTTTCCAAGGTGCATTTGTGATTTTTGGTATCAAGGATCACACGATAATTACATTATGTTGGGTCTGTGGTTTTTAATGTTCTGTGCGATCGACTTGATCCAGTCGATCCCTTTGTGCAGCCATATAAGATTTTGCAGATGGTGCAGAAATTGAAGAAATTTTACGTTCCTGCACCTTTGGAAATTTCGGAAAACTACAAATTCCATCAGAGAAAGCAGTTTGAGGGCGAGTCGGTGCAACAGTTTGTCGCTGCCCTCCATAAAAACTCAGCATTGCAAATTCGGTTATCTAAAGACAACGTTACGCAACCAACTAGTTTTTGGTCTTTCAAATAAGAAAGCTCAAGCCCATCTATTAAAGAAGGACCCAGATTTTAATAAAACCGTTAAGGTAGCAGTTATCCATGAAAAAGGAACGGAAGAAATAAAAGCGACATCTTCATCTTCGACTACTTAAAAGCAAACAAGAAACCGGGAAGTTTGATAGATAGATGATCGAAATACGAAACTCGAAAATTCGATAATAAATTTACTCCTAGTAATAAGTCGCGTCCTAAAAATACAAATAATTTTAATAATACTTCATAAAATGTTATAGATAAATAAATGTTATAGATAAATTTTTATAGATGTGGGAAGCCACATCTAGCTACACATTGTACTTTGAATCTTGAAATATTCGCTGTAATAATAATGGCTGCGGCAAACACGGTCATTTGCGTTCAATCTGTTTTAGAAATTCAATTGCTACAAATCAATTAGAAGAAATCTCAGTCTGGAACATACAAGTTTTCAAGAAAAATTCGAAATATACTTAAAGTTAACAGCAAAGCGAAAAAATTTGAAGTGGACACTAGAGCAGCAGTTACCGTTATGAATAAGTCCGAGGTAAAAAAGTTGTTTCAGGGCGAATTGGTTCATCCTACAACCTCTGGTTACATATTGCGGACGTACGCTCAAAAGTTCAAGATTCATCTCCATAAGCATTAAATTCTGATATAAAGAAATTAAATTTGTACTTAGTTGATAATTATAAGAAACCGCTATTAGGCCGAGAATGGGGCTCAGACAATTAAATTATTATGATTTACTTTCAAATGTTACATAGTTGAATAATCTAACTGAAAATTGTCAAAGTAAATTGCAAACACTAATAAATAAATACCAGAAGTTACGTTCTTCAGATTTTTCGTCTATTAAAAATATACAAGTTAAGTCAACTTTGAAGCCAGGTAGTATTCCAGTTTTTATGAAAGCGCGTTCGATTCCTTTTAAATTATTGCCATTAATAGAACAAGAATTAGATAATATAAAAAATACCAGAATAATTGAAAAAGTCGAAACTTCTAAATGGGCTATTGTACCTATTCTAAAACGAGACGGAAGAATTCGTATATGCGGGGATTAGTTACAAATTACATTAAATCCGCAATTACAAATTCACGATCACCCGTTACCTACAATCGATGAACTGTTTGCTAAATCGCGAACGGGAATAAATTTTCAAAAATTGATTTTAAGCAAGCGTATCTGTAATTAGAAATCGCTCCCGAAGATCACGAACTATTAACTATTAGTACGTGCAAGGGTCTGTATAAAGTAAACAGGATGTACGATATTGCGCCGGGTCTCACAATCTGGCAACGCGAAATTGAAAAAATTCTTCAAAGAATAGCAGGCATTGCAATTTTCTTCGATATTGTCATTATGGGGGAAACAAATTCTACACATTTAGCAAGACTCGAAGAAGTACTTGATAGGTTACATCGTTATAATGTTCGTATAAATTTAGATAATCTACGTTTTTCATGGATAAAATAAATTACTGCGGATACGTAATAGATAGAAAAGGCATACATAAAGATACTCAAAAGATGCTTGCCATTAGTAAAATGCCTAGATCTAAAAATACATCTGAAGTTCGCATTTTTGTTGGTATGATAAATACTACGGTCGATTTATACAAAACCTCAGTTCAATATGGCGTCCTTTAAATAAATTGTTATGTAAGGGTACACCCTTCATTTAATCAAAAGATTGCGAATCAGCTTTTCAAGCTAAAATTTACGAATAAGCAAGTTCTAGCTCATTTCGATTCGAAACTTCCATTAATTTTAACTAATTTTACCGATGTAAGATCATATGGAGTCGGTGCAATTTTATCCCATTCATACTCTGATGGAAAAAGGGTCATTCAATTCGCATCTCAAACTTTATCGAATGTTCAATTAAAATGTTCTCAAATTGATAAAGAAGTATATGCAATAATTTTCGGTATAAAAAAATTTTTCCAATTTTTATATGGAAATAAATTTACGTTGATAACAGACCATCGTCCTTTAATACAAATTTTTTCACGAAGAAGATTTACCTATATACACAGCTATGCGTATGCAACATTATGCCATCTTTCTACAAGGGTTTAATTACCGATTATTCAATACTGCAAATCCGAAAATTATGTAAATGCAGATTGCTTATTAAGACGACCGCTAAAATCGTCAAATCAAATTGCGGACATAGTTGATGCGTTTCAATTAGAACTTATCGATACACTTCCTGTTTACGGCAAATAAAATTGCGATTGAAACAAAGAAAGATAGCGAATGTAGCACGCTTACAAAATGTTTATTAATTATAAAAAAAACAAATAATAATCTTGGAATATTTTGGAAGAATAACTGCTGCCGATCGCTATGACGAAACGAATTCGACTGTCACTCAGTCGCGCAAATCGCACGCACCTGCCTAAAACTTGCCTAATGTCACCTATCTATCTAATTTTTATTCAATTAGGTGTGTAATTCGACCGT